CCCAAGGAATTCAAAACTGCCAAGTGGAATATCTCAGAAATGGTAAGTCGTAGAGGTAAGACTCGATAAGCTTTTTTGTAAATCTCGTCGAGCTCTACAACGGACAGTTTTCCTTTAGGACTTACAGTTACGGAGCTATGGCCTGTTGAAGTTGCAATTTTTGTCAATTTTCAGAATTTCCTTTGTTAAGGTATAGGGCCAAAAACCAAAGTCAGAATTTCAAGATAGCCATTTTGTGGAAGGCATTCCAAAAAGTCCCAAAACCAACTTTTTTTCCCTTAACTTTCCGATTTTCCAGAACTTTTAGAGTTCTTTTTCCAGCCTTATGTACTTTTTTTCTGGAAAACTATCCAAGAGAAAATTATAAAATTTTCTGGAGAGAAAGAGAAAAGTAGGGAGCTCATTTTAGCAAAATTTTCCAATGAAAGATCACTCCAGGAAAAATTCTGGAAAATTGACGTGTTTAAGCAAAATTAAGGTAAATTCACCCTCTTACATTTTAATTTTTTTCTGGAAAACTAGAAGAGGGAAAATTTTAAATTTTTTCCAGGAGAAAGAAGAAGGCGAGGAGCTCGATCATTTCAGCAAAATTTCAAAATTTTCCAGTGAAAAATCATTTGAGGAAAAATTCTGAAAAATTGATCTTTTTAAGCAAAATTAAGGAAAATTCACCTCTTACATTTCAATTTTTTTCTGGAAAACTGAAAAAGGTAAAATTTTGAAATTTTTCTATCTAGGAGGAAGAGCAAAGTGAGGAGATCATTATAGGAAAATTTCAGAATTTTTCAGTGAAAAATCACTCCAGAAGAAATTCTGGAAAATTGACTTGTTTGGGCAAAAGTAAGGAACATTTTATTTATTTTTTCTGAAAAACTAGAAGAGGGAAAATTTTGACTTTTTTTAGAAGAAAAAGGAAAAGAAGATCGTTATAGGAAAATTTCAAAATTTTCCAGTGGAAAATCACTCGAGGAAAAGTTCTGGAAAATTGACTTTTTCAAGCAAAATTTAAAAAAATTCACCTCTTATATTTTAATTTTTTTTCTGAAAAACTGGAAAAAAAATTTCCAGGAGAAAGAAGGAGCTCATTTAAACAAAATTTCAAAATTTTCCAGTGGAAAATCATTCCAGGAAAAATTCTGGAAAATTTACTTTTTTAAGCAAAATTGAAGGGAATTCACCCTCTTACATTTTAATGTCCCTCCAGGTGGGGAGCTCAATTTAGCAAAATTTCAAAATTTTCCAGTGAAAAATCACTTCAGGAAAAATTCTGGAAAATTGACTTTTGCAAAATTACGGGGAATTCACCCTTTTACATTTTAATTTTTTTCTAGAAAACGGAGAAAGGGAAAATTTTGAAATTTTTCCAGGAGAAAGAGGAAAGTGAGGAGATAATTATAGGAAAATGTCAAAATTTTCCAGTTAAAAATCACTCCAGGAAAAACTCTGGAAAATTGACTTGTTTAAGCAAAGGTAAGGAAAATTCACCCTCTTACATTTTAATTTTTTCCTAGAAAACTGGAAGAAAGAAAATTTTGAAATTTTTCCTAGAGAAAGAGAAAGGTAAGGAGCTCATTTTAGCAAAATATCGAAATTTCCCAATGAAAAATCATTCCAGAAATAATTCTGGAAATTGACTTGTACAAAAGTAAGGAAAATTCACCTCTCACATTTTAACTTTTTCCTGAAAAACTGAGAAAGAGAAAATTTTGAAATTTTTTCAGGAGACAGAGGAAGGTGAGGAGATTATTATAGGAAAATATCAAAATTTTCCAGTGAGAAATCACTCCAGGAAAAATTCTGAAAATTTGACTTTTTTTGAGCAAAATTTAGAAAAATTCACCTTCTTACATTTTTAATATTTTTCTGGAAAATTGGCAAAGGGAAAATTGTGAAATTTTTAGAAGAGAAAGAGGAAAGTGAGGAGATTATAGGAAAATTTCAAAATTTTCCAATGAAAAATCACTCCAGGAAATATTTCGAAAAATTGACTTTTTCAAGCAAAATTAAAAAAATCACCCTCTTATATTTTCATTCTTTTCTGGAAAACTGGATAAAGGAAAATTTTGTAATTTTTCTATCGGAAAGAGGAAAATAAAGAGTTCATTTTAGCAAAATTTCAAAATTTTCCAGTGAAAAATCACTTCAAAAAAAATTCTAGAAAATTGACTTTTTCAAACAAAATTAAGGAAAATTCACCCTCTTACATTTTAATTTTTTTCTGAAAAACTGAGAAAGGGAAAATTTTGAAATTCTTCCAGGAGAAAGAGGAAAGTGAGGAGATGATTATAGGAAAATTTTAAAATTTTCTAATGCAAGAGAAATTCTGGAAAATTGACTTGTTTAGGCAAAAGTAAGGAAAATTCACCCTCTCACATTTTAAGTTTTTTCTGGAAAACTGGCAAAGGGTGAAATATGAAATTTTCTGGAGAGAAAGAGGAAAGTTAGGAGCTCATTATAGGAAAATTTCAAAATTTTCCATGAAAAAATCCATCCAAAAAAAATTCTGAAAAATTGACTTGTTTAGGCAAAAGTAAGGAAAATTCACCCTCTCATATTTTAGGTTTTCTCTGGAAAACTGGCGAAGGGAAAATAATGGAATTTTCTGGAGAGAAAGAGGAAAAAAATTCAAATTTTTCCAGCAGAAAATCATTCCAGAAAAAATTCTGGAAAATTGACTTTTTTAAGTGAATTTTTAAAAAAATCACCCTTTTACATTTTAATTTATTTCTGGAAAACTGGAAAAAGGAAAATTTTGAAACTTTTCCATAAGAAAGAGGAAGGGGAGGAGCTCATTTTAACAAACTTTCAAAATTTTCCAATGAAAAATCATTCTAGGAAAAACTCTGGAAAATTGACTTGTTTGAGCAAAAGTAAGGAAAATTCACCCTCTCACATTTTAAGTTTTTTTCTGGAAAACTAGCGAAGGGAGAATTATGAAATTTTCTGGAGAAAAAGAGGAAAGTTAGAAGCTAATTATAGGAAAATTTCAAAATTTTCCAGTGGAAAATCATTCCAGGAAAAATTCTGGAAAATTGACTTTTTTAAGCAAATTTAAAAAAAAAATTAACCTCTTACATTTTTAAGAAAACTGGAAAGGGAAAATTTTGAAATTTTTCCAGGAAAAAGAAAAAAGGACCATTATTGGAAAATTTTAAAATTTTCTAGTGAAAAATCACTCAAGGAGAAATTCTGGAAAATTGACTTGTTCAGGCAAAAGTAAGGAAAATTCAGCCTCTTGCATTTTAATTTTTTTCTGGAAAACTGGATGAGGGAAAATTTTGAAATTTTTCTAGCAAATAGAAGAAGGTGAGGAGCTCATTTAAGCAAAATTTCAAAATTTTTCAGTGAAAAATCATTCCAGAAAAAATTCTGGAAAATTGACTTAATTAAGCAAAAGTAAAGAAAATTCACCCTTTTATATTTTAATTTTTTTCTGGGAAACTGGGAAAAAAAAAATGAAATTTTTCCAGGAGAAAGAGAAAGGTGTGGAGATTATTATAAGAAAATTTCAAAATTTTTTAGTGAAAAATTACTCCAGGAAAAATTCTGGAAAATTGACTTTTTTAAGCAAAATTTAGAAAAATTTACCCTCTTACATTTTTAATATTTTTCTGGAAAACTGGCAAAGGGAAAATTTTGAAATTTTTCCCGGAGAAAGAGGAAGTTGAGGAGCTCATTTTAGCAAAATTTCAAAATTTTCCAGTGGAAAATTACTCTAGGAAAAATTCTGGAGAATTCACTTTTTTAAGCAAAATTAAGGAAAATTCATCTCTTACATTTTAATTTTTTTCTAAAAAACTATAAAAGGGAAAATTTTGAAATTTTTCCAGGAGAAAGAGAAAGATGAGATTATTATAGAAAAACTTCAAAATTTTCCAGTGAAAAATCGCTCTAGAAACAATTCTGGAAAATTGACTTGTTTAAGCAAAAGTAAGTAAAATTCACCCTCTTACATTTTAATTTTTTTCTGAAAAACTGGAAAATGGGAAATTGTAAAATTTCCTGGAGAGAAAAAGGAAAATTAAGAGCTCATTATTGGAAAATTTCAAAATTTTCCAGTGAAAAATCACTCTAGGAAAAATTGACTTGTTTAAGCAAAATTAAGGAAAATGCACCCTCTTACATTTTATTTTTTTTCTGGAAAACTGGAAAAGGGAAAATTCTTACATTTTTCCAGTAGGAAGAAGAAAATAAGGAGATCATTATAGAAAAATTTCAAAATTTTCCAGTGGAAAATCACTCCAGAAAAAGTTTTGTAATATTGACTTTTTTTGGGAAAAATTTTAAAAAATTCACCCTATTAATTTTAATTTTTTTTCTGCAAAATTGGCAGAGGGAGAATCATGAAATTTTCTGGAGAGAAAGAGAAAAGTTACGAGCTCATTATAGGGAAATTTTAAAATTTTTCAATAGAAAATCACTCCAGGTGAAATTCTGGAAAATTGACTTTGATAAGCAAAATTTAAAAAAACTTACCATCTTACATTTTAATTTTTTTCTAGAAATTCTGGAAAATTGACTTTTTTAAGCAAGATTTAGGAAAATTCCTTGTCTTATATTTTAATTTTTTTCTAGAAAACTGGAAAAGGAAAGTTTTGAAATTTTTCCAGGAGAGAGAAGAAGGTGAGGAGCTCATTTTAGCAAAATTTCAAAATTTTCCAGTGAAAAATCACTGCATGAAAAACTATGGAAAATTGATTTGTGACGCTACTAAATAAGTTGCTCAAGAAAATTCTACTTCTCACTTTTTACTTTTTTGAAGTGTCTGACTCGTGTCATCATTTTTACACGAATAAGGGGTTCCGTCAGTCAAAGGTTGGTCCTTATTAGCGGCCACATACTGAGATTTTAGTCGAGCAAATTATAAATTAAAATTTTAATTAGAAAAGACTAAAAAAAGAGGTTGAGAAATAAGTAGTCAGTCATGTTGAATGAAGAACCAAAAGACTAGACGATGACTATGGATATTCTAGAAGAACGAAAATTTGTGGAAAATAAATAAAATCCAAAAACAATAATTTATCAAAAAATGAGATTCTTTATTTTCAAGATCAACATGGTTGTAAACAAACATTTTTTTATTTTTCTTAAAATCTCATGTACTTATCACAAAAAGTAAGTATGTAGAAGAAAAGACAAAATTTATGTACAATAAAAATGAGACAAAACACAAAATAATGACAATTTTCACTTTTTGAACGCTTACAGTCGTTGTAGCCTACACAAACTTTGAAACCTATGCAATTTTTAAATACTAATTTAAAGCAATGTGGTTTTTACAAAATAAAAAAAATATACATAAAAAAAAAACACAAAAAGGCGCACACAAAAAAGAAATATCCACTGCATAAGTTGGCTTGTTTCAATTTCAAACTGTAAACTCAAAAATAATAGAAAATATAAAAAATTATTACATTATTTAACAAAATACCTAGCTACCTTAAATTAAAATTTTTGAAGACTTTTATTGGCTAGATTGAGTTCTACTTCTCTAGTATTTCTAAACAAATCTCGTCAATAAAAGTCCTCCAAAAATAAAATAATATATTATAAATATTTTGGTCTAAATTTCTATAAATTATCAAAGTTGAATAGGAGGCACCGACTGGGTCGGTACCAATGGACGGTTTTTAGAGACTAAATGAGCATTATAAATTTTGCTCTATGATAAAATGGCCAATGTTGCCTTTGGAACAATAATTTACTAAAGGACACCTTATTAGAGTAGTCCAGAGTCCAGATACAGAGTAATAATTTATGATTGAAAATGTATCTGGGTTATTTGACATTATTAGGTGAGCGACTTGATCTAATTTTATATATTCATACCTACAATCAAATAGGTAATAAGCCGTTCAAGCAGTCCTTTACTAAATTATATTTTCATTGTTATACAGGGTGTATACCTACATATAAATGATGATTGAAATTACAATAATACTTCACTGAAACAACTCTTTCTTTTTGTATACTGTTGGAAACACCCTGTATATTGTAAATAATCAACTACACCACTAATATAAATCACTATAAAAAATAAAATACACTATTACTGGTACTAAGCGATATAATTCAGACTATGTCACACATTTCAATTATCGAGATATGGCTTATCTTTTTACTTTTATTCGTTTTATAAAGGCAAACCTTAATATCACCTTATCTGAGTCATGGGTAATATCAAATGTAGGCACTACGTCGCTTTGTACTTTCTAATTAGAAACTTAAGCTTATATTGTACAAATGGTTTCTATACATTTTTGACTGCGTTAGCTTCGATGTTATGGCTGAAGGGGAAGACAATGGTCTAAGAGCTAGGCAACGGTTTTATTTACTAGATTTCAAAAAAGCACATTTTATCTAGACCTAATACTAACAAACTAATCGCCAGTCAATTTTATTGTTAGCCCTTCAAAGGGGTAGAATCCTCATATTATCTCAGATATGAAAAAAACATACTTGAACGGAAGATAAGAAAATGATAGTGCAATTTCCTGAAACCCTTTCCTAAAAGAGCAAGAGCTAGAATCCAGTCCAAACCTGGAGAGCAAGTCACTTTTGTGATTGATGGCAGTTGGTCCCCATAAGCATAGGAAATAAAGCAAGCCATCCAAAGGGATTAAATTCAGAACAATAATCGCATCTGTCCAAAATGTGATGGCAAAAATAGCAAGTTTATGTTTCAACTATTGCCGACAATATGAAGAAAGATTTTTTGATGGTGCAATATATTGTCACATGATGCACTGTTTTGATTTTTGGAATCCTTTTCTGTTGTATCCTGGTTTTTTGTATTGAAAGAACCAACATTTTGACTTTTAAAGTTACACTAAAGCCTGTTGAGATAGGGAGAAATGTGGTATTTGAATCTCTAGATTTTTAGGCATAAAGTATTGGTCTTTCTGTGGGCATGTTTCTGTTCTTTGTTAATTATTATTTATTAATAATTGATAAGAAACAAGTCTCATGAAAAACCACAAATAAAACCGTCACCACAAAAGCTCATCAAAAATGCGCTGACATCAAATGTCTCGAATCACATATAAACACTGACACACCTTTCTTTTTACAATTAAAAAAAAAGTCTTTATACAAAATAGCTACAATGCATCAGTCTCGCTTGAACTTACACAAACTCGTCAAAATAATGCGTTACCCTTGTGTTCCTCAATAGCAATACAAAGCTGGTTGCTAAAATTGTGAATAGCGGTATTGACAAGTGGCTGGCTGAATTGTATATCCAGCAGTAGGGGCATTGTGAGCTGCCGCATACTTGGCAGATGTCGAGTACGTACGAGGAGAGGGCGTCGATGAGAGTTTCGTTGAATCGTTCTGGAAAAGATAAAATATTTGTTATTTTTTTATGATTATTTCATCAACAGCAGGCAGAAAAATCCGATATGGCTGTTGAATTGGATTAGTTTTTTCCCTTTATAGTTATTAAGGTATCAAGGGTATAAGGATAATATTAAATGGGCGGTTACACACGGACGTGGATATCTTAATACATATACGTGGAAACATCAACGTGCAAACAACAACGTGCATGGCGCTTTTGTACAGACGCTCGTACAAAACTGCAATCTTGCTATTCTTGCTACAGTGTTCCGAGTGTGCATACAAAATTGCACATCCAAAAACGCGTCGGTATTTTGCATAAGGCGGTTACACACGGACGTGGATGGCTTGATACATATACGTGCATACATCAACGTGCAAACAAAAACGTGCATGACGCCTTTGTACAGACGCTCGCACAAAACTGTAGTCTTGCTATTCTTGCTACAGTGTTTCGAGTGTGCATACAAAATTTCTAGCGATTGCACACTCAAAAACGCGACGGTATTTTGCATACACATTGATGTTTTTGGTTGCGCGTTCATGTATGTGCGTACATGTTTTAAGACATCCACGCCTGTGTGTAACCGCCTATACACATTAAAGGCGGTTACACACGGACGTGGATGTCTGAAAACATGTACGCACATACATGAACGTGCAAACAAAAACATCAATGTGAATAAATAAATAAATAAATTCTTTATTTACGGACATGCCATTTTTACAAAGGTAGACTTAAAGTGTAGGTACACGCAATAATAAATATTTGGAATAACAAGTAGGCAACAGACAAGTTAGTATAAAAAAACAACATTACATAAGCCTAAACAAATATTTTGTAGTAGGTATCAAAATACAAACAACATAATACGCTTAAAATTGAATACAAATAGAAAAAACGATCATTTTAGGATCGACTTTAAAATTCTTTTGAATCTATCCAAACTTATGTTAAAAACATCCAAATCAGTCTTCAAAATAATATCATTCAGAGAACGACAGCTTCTAAGTAAAGGTGAATGGTAACCATAATTGGTTCTACGAAAATCAAGGTTAAACAATGTGTTTCCTCTTAAATTGCTAGATGGTACATGTAAGCCAATTCTAGCAAGTAAGTCAGGAGAATCAATAGAATTATTAACAATCTTAAACAAAGTACACATATCAAAAAACTGTCGCCTCTGGTTCAGATTTTCAAGATTTAGGACAGACATTAACTCATTATAATTTATAGATTCACTTGGGATGCCCAATCGATATGCAATGGATCTTAAAAACTTTTTTTGGATTCGTTCCAAGTGGGAGATGTGCACAGCATAATAAGGGGCAAGCATATTCTACAACTGATCTAACAATTGCACAATAAATGTTTCTTAGGGTGTAGATATTAGTAAATTCTTTTAGTGACCTGAACATAAAGCCTAGTAATTTCATTGCTTTATTAGCAGTTATTTCAATGTGCTCTGTGAAGCTTACATTAGTGTTGAAATAGACTCCCAAGTCTCTAATAGTTTCAACCCTGTTAATCTCCAAATCATTAAGAACGTAATTATGTAAGTATGGTGTTTTTTTTCCGAGAAAAAGTAATAATCTTACACTTCTCAACATTTAAGAGGAGTTTGTTTCTTTGACACCAAGTCCGAAACATATCCAAGTCCACTTGCAATAATTGAGCATCCCTGACATCCCGAACAACCATAAAACACTTCAAGTCATCAGCCAAGAGCAAAAAATCGGAATTTCTGAAGACACCTGACAGATCATTAATAAATATACTAAACAGCAAAGGAGACAGGTGTCCTCCCTGAGGCACCCCCGAGGTCACCGAAAATACTGAAGAGATGTAATTCTCAATTTTTACAGCCTGTTTTCTACCTGTGAGAAGACTTCCAATCAAGCTCAATAGACCTCCATGCAGCCCCACATCGGCCACCTTCTCCAATAGTATCTTATGGTCAACCCTGTCAAAGGCCTTGGAGAAGTCAGTGTAGACCGAGTCAATCTGACACTTATTCTCCAAGCCCTCCAACAGAGCCTCCTCATAGACCAGAAGATTAGTCAATGTAGATCTACCCTTAATAAAGCCATGCTGCTCTGGTACAATAACATGTTTCAAAATTGGTGTAAGAAAATCCATTATTATAGACTGAAATACCTTAGAAAAAATAGACATTCTGGATATGGCCCTATAGTTTTTTAATATTATTTCTTTCTCCACTCTTAAACACAGGAGTTATATAGCTTAATTTCCACATATCAGGAAACCGTCCCAACGCCTTATTGAATATTTTACATAATATCTCTGAAAGAATACAACTACAATTCTTAACAAATAATACTGGGATGTCATCAGGACCACAACCCAATCCATTCTTCAATGAATGTATCTTGTTAAATATATCAAGAGGGGTAATTTGAACCGAACTGATATTGCAATTAGACAAACTAGATAAATTAGAGACAGGAATGTTTCGATCACTCTCAACACTCACCTCAGTATAAACCGAGGAAAAACTATCCTTAAAGAGATTGACAATTTCATGAGGTGTGCTACCTTCATGCTCATCAAGAAACATAGAACTGGGATATCCACGATTTTCATTTTTCGATCGTACATATCTCCAAAATCCATTTCTGTCCTGTGTCTCGGACTCGATTTTCTCAATGAAATTCCTATGGCTGATATGAGAATAAATTTTACATTCTTTCCTAATTTCTGAAAAAACTCCATAATCCTGAGCGGACATAGTATTTTTATAGTTTTGATGTGCCTTTTTTTTAGACAAAATTAAACATTTTAAATGATTATCCATCCATCCTGGAAATTTTGCTGTTTTTCTTTTTGAAATGGGTGTAAAGATCTCAATAGCATGATAAATTTGATTATAAAAAGTATCGACAGCAGAGTTTATATCATCCATATCAACAAAAGAGTCCCAATCCACACAAGACAGATAAACATTTAAATCCCTAAAATTACAATTCTTATAATCCAGAAAACAATAATCATACTCCAACTTATCAGAATTATTATTTGAAATTAATACACCAAAAACCAAAGCAGGATGAGGTGTGTCCAAATTCAAAAGTGGATCGGCTGATATTGAGTTACATACATCTTTATTACTACAAAATATCAAATCCAGAAAGTTCCCATAAATATTAGAAATATTATTCACTTGATATAAGCTATGGAAAGCCATGCAGTCAGCCAACTCTGTGGTTTGTTCAGATTGTTTACCAATAGCCCTGGTCCCATGCAAATCATTGATCCAGGACACATCCGGTCTATTAAAATCTCCACATAAATAGATTTCCAAGTTTTGACAACTACTACATATTTCCAACGCAGCTGTTACGGATGAGCAGTAACTTTCATAGGTATCTATAGGAGAATCTGGGGGCAGATAAGCATTGTCCAACAAAATATGATGCTCTTTCAAAGAAACCAGTACAAAAATGTGCTCCACTGATTCAAATTGAGTAGATATCTGTCTACAATTAAGAGACTTCCTCACTGCAACCATGACACCCCCTTGTGACTTATGGACACTGATTCTATCAGAATGATCACAGCGAAACATTAAGTAATTACTCATTCCCAATTCGCTCGACAAAATGTCTTTATTCAGGAAAGTCTCAGTAAATACATAACACAAAATCATAGTTTTCCGTGGAAATATTGCACATAAGGGTGGTTAGTTTTGTTCTCAACCCCCGCACATTTTGATAGTAGCCTGTTAGAGCTTAGAGTTCTTTCATGGAATCATCGATTTTTTGAGACACCATATTTAGTTTGTTATTTATGGTTAATTCAAAAGTTTTGAATACTTTAGATACTGCTTCATTGACTGCGGCACCAATACAGTTTTTGAACTGATCAAGGTTTAGACCTGAGACAATATCATCTCTGTTAGTAGCTTCGTTTGCTGTATAATGATCTAAGCAGTCTCTGCACCACACCAATACCATCTTTCTCTGTCCTAGAGAGCATCGAATTTCTTGTGCGGAAATCCCACTACATAATTTACAAATAAATAAATAAATAAATAAATATTTTATTAACGACAACGTCATTTAAAAGTGTTTACAATAATAATAAATATAATATATATATAAAAAAAACATTTAGTAAAACAATCAAGTAAAAAAACAATAACAATCTAATCAAGGAACATTACACTTGTTAATAGGATTATCTTTAGACCACTATATCACAGGTTTTTAGGTACAACTCACAGAGTGTAATATACATAATATAATCAGACTTATACAAGAGAGAAAAAAAAGAACATAATACATACTACAATAATAGTTGCTGCAGTACCGGCATTAGGGATCTTAATTAAACATGTTTTATTTTTCTTTTAAAGGAATTTAGACTTACATTAAAAAAATCGATATTCAGTCTTTCAATGATATTATTAGCCAACCCACAGAATCTTGAGATGGGAGAATTTAAGCCATAATTAGTTCGATGATGTTTGATATAAAATAGCCTATTTGTTCTAACATTACAATTTCTAGGTACATGAAAACCAATCAGTGACAAAAGATCTGGTGACTGTATGATATTATTTATAATTTTGTATAGGATACATAAGTCTTGCTGGTCTCTTCTTTGCTGTAAAGTTTGCATGTTTAAAAGGGATAAAATGTCATCATAATCAATAGAGTCATAATTGATATTCAATCTAAATGCAATTTGTCTCAGAAATTTTCTTTGAACTCGCTCTATTGCATACTTTTGATTTTCATAAAAAGGAGACCAAACTGGACTGGAGTATTCTAGTACTTGCCTAACAATTGCAGAATATGCATTCCTCAAAGTAAAAATATTATTGAAATCTTCCAAATTGCGAAAAACAAATCCCAGTAGCCTCATTGCTTTATTAGAAATCCTATCTATATGCTCATGAAAGTTTAATTCCACATCCAAATAAACCCCCAGGTCTCTAATAACATAAACTCTCTCCAGTTCAACATTGTTGATAGAATAATTGAAAATGAAAGGATTCCTTAGACGCCCAAAGGACATTACTTTACACTTATCGATATTAAGAGAAAGATTATTCAATTCGCACCACTCAAAAAACCCATTTAGCTCGTTTTGCAGCGTAACACAATCCTGCAAACTTCCAACTACAATAAAAATTTTCTTGTTATCTGCAAAGTTTAAAAATTTACAATTTACAAAGTTTTGCTTGACATCATTTAAAAATAAGTTGAACAAGAGAGGAGACAAATGTCCGCCCTGAGGTACTCCCGACGTAACCTCAATAAAATCAGACAGATAGTTTTCGATTTTAACTTTTTGTTTCCTATAAGAAAGATAGTTAATAAGCCATTCAAAAAATTTACCATGAAAACCCATGGCTAATAATTTCCTAGAGAGGACACTATGATCAACCCTGTCGAACGCCCTGGAGAAATCGGTATAAATGACATCCACCTCATACCCCCCCTCCAAGGCAACAAACAGGACCTGCTCAAACTCCAACAAATTTGAAGTGGTTGACTTGCCCTTCATAAAGCCATGTTGTTCTGGTGTAATTAAATGCTTAAATAAAGGTGTAATTTTGTCAGTTATGATAGCTTCGAAAATCTTTGAAAAAATAGAGATTTTGGAGATAGGGCGGTAATTCTTAACATCACAATTGTCCCCACTCTTGAAA